CTGTTTAAGAAAAAATTAAAATACAGTCTGCTGAAGATGTTAGAAGACCAACATGCCTTTAAGGAGTCAGATCCTAAAGTGAAGTAAATTACTATCTATTGACAACAGCAGACCTTTTCTCCCCATAAAATACAGCATGAAGTCTATGCAGGATTTCATAGAAAAGGCCATCATCTCAGCATCCAAACACAGGGGTACCGTGCCATTTTAGATGCAAGAGAGCACCTGATATAGCTGCATGAGGCTGGAACACAGGATAGGGAAGAGAGGCTTCAGGTGACCCACACCTCTCTGGAGGAGCAGCTGGAACACAGGCCATCTAAACCAGAACTAAAACACACACTTCTGCAACTGACAGCTGGCCTATTTCTGCCACACTGACAGCAGGGCTAAAAGCAGTTTCTGAACTATAGTAGTTTATAACCCACTTTAAGAAAAACTGAAAAAAGTGTAACATGCTGAGCTATGATCAGCTGCTCCACCAACAGTTCAGAAGACCAAGCTGAAGAGAACATCTGGTTAGGCAGCAGGGGACCAGCATGGCATCTTTTCTCCTGATGTAAACTGTGGCTTGTGGAACAGCGCTTATACTCTGAACCCTACCTACAGTATTTCAAAGCACATTTTGCATAGATGTCACTTGAGACTTCATAATACTGAAGGAGAAAGAAAAGACTAAAGCAAATAAAAGATTTCTCCCATTACATGGCTTAGTTCAGCAAATTTAATTTCCTCTACAGCACTTACAAGCCTTAATTCCCAAAAGAGAGTACCACCAAAAAATACAAACAAGACAAAATCTTCACGTGAACAGGCCAAAGGATTCCCACTAGTTATGATTTGATGCCTTCAGAGAAGAACAAAAGCATGGACACATAAAATCCAAAGAAAAGCACTGAACAGAAAAAGCCTCAAAAGAGACATCAGGGATGTCTGCTGGCCCCAGAACCTTGGAACTAACATAATCTCTTGCTGATCATACTGTTGCACTCAAAGAAGCAGGACTTTGTAATTGAAACAAGAATATAATTCAACCTCTGACTTTTGTGCCAAATTCTTCTCCTAGATTGAGCAAGAACTTAAAATTTTGGCTAAGTGCTCAGGTGAAAAGGGTCACAGTATTAAAAAACAAAACAAAACCACAAACAAAACACAAAACTTAGGGCATCATATGATTTCTGCCAAGTTTTACTTCTATCATTATTACTAAAGCCTACAGAAATACATCAGTATACCTGTTGTCGCCTAGAATTGGATTAAGTGCAGAATCTAACAAAGCCTAATGAGAAAAGAGGAATACGGAGCCCTAAAAATCAAAACAATACACTCAGATCTTAATAAGCCTAGAAAGGCAGCATCATTTACACATTTTAATTATGTAGTGCCTTAAAAAAACCCAAAAAAACAAACAGTAACTTATCTTTGCTAGGTAATATCTTGTTCTCAATTCTTTCTAAATTGTTTTGCCTGATTAATATTTTAGACACATTTGCTATACAGAGAAATGAATTTAAATCAAAACACAATCAGCCACTCTAGTTGTGATCCCACCTGGTCTCCAGGGTCTACAGCATCACTTCTAATGAACTTGTCAGCTGAATAATCTTCAAATATGATTTTAGGAAGGAAAAATTGTTATACTTAGCTTGTGCTAAATTAATTACAAGCAGAAGCCTTAGTTAAGATGGGAGGGTGCTTACACGTGTTTCGAGTGAGCTACCTTAAACAGGACCTCAATAGAGACAAGGCACTTAATTTACCACAAAATTAACTAGACAGTGCCAGCTAGACTACAGGTCCAGAGTTTGTGACATTCCTTTTACCTTACAGTATCTCCCTTTCATGAATTCAGGCATCAGACCCTTTCATGCATTCAGGGTCTGCAGAAGAAGGAGAGGAAGATTCACCAAATTAACATGTTTGAGGAAAAAACTGCCCAGATCCACAATTTGGAAAAACTGGAAAAACTTGCCAGAACACACTTTTATCTTCTTAAATTGCACTATGCTGCTAGAGATGCAACATCCTGGTTGTCCTTTGAACAGTTTTACTACTGCTTTTCTTGGAGCTACTCTCTACTTAAGTGAATATTATTAAAAATATAATATTTAAAATATACCATGGATATAGTTCTTTTTTTGTCTGGGTAAAGATCTTTTGCCACCTTGTTTTATAGTAAGTATTCACAATCCCCTTCTCAGAAAACTGAATAATCTTGCCAACGCTGTGAGACAAATTTACTTACATCTTGGCTTTCAAAGAAAACATAGACAGACTAAACTGATAAAGCAATTGTTTCTTAATCTCTTTCATGGCAGAGAAATAGGTTCTCTCAATTCCAAAGTAAATTGAGCAGTCCTTGTTATTTGATGTTTAAGTACCTGTAGATTTAACAGTTCTTCTTACTACAGAAGGAAAGTGATTTAGTACAAGCACTGCACAGGAGAGAAGGCTGTACTAGCTGAAGAGATTTGCCTCAGAAAGCAAGCTTTTCTGTATACCATTCAATAGGTTGTGTTTGGTGTTATCTATTTTCAGAAACCTTGAAATATCCACAAGCAACTTGAGTGTCTCTCACAGATTTTTATACTTCCCTTTTTCAGAATACGGCTGCTGATTTACTGATATGGAAATTAGCAGGCATGACAATAAAGCCTAAATTAAAAAAAAGTAACATTTTCCGTAAAATGTCAGTTCCGATTCTTTCCCAATTTTGTTTAGGACCTGTACACACAAAAAGAGGAAAAAAAAAAAGTATATTTTAATAAGTTGTGAGCAACTTATAACATGATTGTGATATCTTTTAAGCCTTACAATTTGACAATAAAAACACATAGAATATTTAATGTTTCAGATACTAGGACTAAAGAAGCCCTTAATGACTAAAAACAGTTCACTGCACAACTTATTGTGCTTGAAGAAGGAGGAGTTTTCCTAAAAGTTTAAAAAAGGAAACCTAATTTTGTTGTTGCATTTCACTAGAGGGTAGGGGATGGAGAACGCCATATGAGGGACACTCAGTCATCCAGAGCACTGTTTTTGCTCATCAGTAGGGCACAGATCCATTTTTTCTAGTCTCTGCTATTTCCTAATCTCTTCTCTCCCACTCACAGCTCTTTCCCCTTCCCAGCATTCAGTCTGGCACCTATTCCAATCACACAGGATGAAAAGTAATTATGCAGTGATATCCCTCCCCAATGGGTACATACCGCTGACCGAACAGACTGGTGTAGGAAGTTGTTAAATTCTGAATAAATGCTTAACACTGCCAGGTGTTACCTAGAAAGCAGCTTGCTGTTTCTTTCACTTACAAATCCTTCCAAAACATTCAATACCAGCACCACTTTCTTTTCCAATATGAAGAACCTGCCTCTGCTTGGAACAGAGAAATGTCCCCAATTGCATTCGATTTATTTTCTTGCTACACAAGGTGGTACCACACACACTTGTTGATTATACATAAGCATAAAATGAAATTAAGTGTGAAATACCATTGTACTGATATTAAAGCTTCAAGATTATCTGAAGTAGAATTTATTTGAATATGAATTTAAAGATTAATAGGAAGGAACTCAAACAAGAAATTATTACTATTAGACATAGTAAAATGCATTTGTTATCATCAAAATCACAATTCAAAAAGGTCCCCTGAATTCATCAGTTAAATTGTCCCCAAAAAAAAGTAAATAAGGAACGGCTCATCTGATTAAGTAACAGTGTATAAGTCCCTTTCTACACTGGTCACTCTATTTAATTGAAATTGTGAGTTACTGTGCAAGAGTTTCCATTAAACAGTTGACCTATGCTATGTAAAATTACTTCTGCAATAGTGACCTTCTTAAACAGTACCCCCCATAAGCTATGAAATTGTCAGCCTCAACAGTATAGCCTATGAGTACAAGAAGAAATATCTTCTTTGGCAACTAACTGAACATACGTAATTCTGATCCAAGGTTCCAGGACATCTGCAATGTAAGCATATCCAGTTAATGGCAATTCAATGCAAGTGAGGGAGAGAAATAAAGGGAAAAAAGTAAATTGAACTTGCAGCACACGAAGCCTAACAACTAGCAGATTAACAAGAGACCAGAACTCTACAGTCGCCGAATGACGAATGATCCAAGGAACCACCCAAGCGTAACCTTGAAAGGGTTAAACCAGAATTTTGTAATTGGTAAGAAGGGCAAACAAGATTATTGTGCATCTCAAGGAGGGGAAAAACTCAAAATTTATCATGGAATAAGAAGTGACACTGTGTAGAATTAATTAAGAAATGCTTTAAGAAGATTCTGGGGTTGTGCAAAACTTACTATGGGATGAAAAACATGGGAAAAATGAGGGAAGACCAAAATAAACTGGCTACCTGTGTCTATTTCTCCATTTAAACTACTGAAATACTCCGCATACAAGATAAATCCTCCCACTCCCAATACCTCAGAGAATAAAAAGGAAACAATATTAAATGCTAATCATCATCTGGCATTAACACGTGGTTTGACACACACTATATTTATACTAGCTAATTAAGGGTGCCCAAACTGGGTCCCTAAACTTGCCTACTGAAAAGGACCCGTGCTCTGTATTTACTGTTGATCAACCTCTGGAAGCTCTTGGGAACAGAGGTAGTTGTCCTGGGGAAAAACTTTGCTGTATTACAACAATTTGACAGTTTGACAATAAGTTTCCAGATCCTGAAAGTTTTCTTCAGCTTTTCTTATTCTTTTATTTATTTAGATATATAAATAGATTATATTTACAGTACCTAAAACATGGTATGTAATATGTACATATGTGGCCATAGATGAGAGAATACCAAAACCAAAATACTATTATTTAGTCTTTGATTTAAGTATCTAGCAAAGTAAAGGAATTTAACTCAGTATATTGCAACTGTTGAACAACCCAAATGACTTTTCCAGTTTGGCAAAATAGTGTAGTTTTAATGTAACTGGTAAGAAACAATTACCACTAACACACCTGAAGTGACATTTTATACTTACTTTGCATAGTCAAAGAGCCTGCTGTCCCAGAGCTGATGAGTTCCTCTAGAACCGGAATGGAAGAAACATGAATCTGTGCCATCAAATTTGTTGAGACCATCTTCAGAGTTTTTTGATGCATGGCTGTGCACAACATCCAGCAGAACAGTGATGCCCATTGAGTGAGCAATGTCAATCATTTCTTTCAGGTCATCTGGAGTTCCATAACGGCTATCAGCAAGAAAATGCAACGTGTTATGAGTGGTACAATCTGAAGTTAAGCTGACAATACTGAACATTACTCCTAAAAACTATATCTAAGTCAGCAATTCCTCATCACCTAGTTTCTGATTGTATACAGGTTATTTTTTCAGCCTCTGAATTAGTAGCTATTGATTACAAACTGATGGTTAAAACAATTTTTTAATCATAAAAATTATATCATGCACACAATGTTTTGCAGAAATAGTTTCAAAGTTTTATTCTTCCCTCTTAATCTGTTCATACATCAAATTTAGTATAAAAGATACTGATAAACTTAAAGCTTCTACTTAATATTGAACAATTCCTTACTTTCTAAGGGACAATAAGATATTTATATTACCAGAATAAAGTAATCTTTAACGACTACAAAAGTAAATGTACATTCATGAAAGTCCCCAAAATACACTATCTGCCACTGTCCTCTTTAGTTATTTAAGTACTATACTATTTTCCAACTTGTTTTTAAATAAAGATTGTCTCCTGTGTCTGACACACATTTCTTTCAACTAATTAAGCCAGTTAAAACTTCCTGTATATCTAAGTTTAGCCTTGCCACTTGAGCTTCACCAAGATGGAAAAAAAAAAAAAATCATAACATTCAGGTTTATCATAATTTTCTTAACAATCTCCTGAACACATTTTCCATCTGTTTTCACTCTAGACCCCAAATATAAGTACAGTCTGTTGCAAGTGTGGGAAAAAGTTATCACAGAACACAGAGAACCGTGATTTTAATCAAGGTCATTATGAACAAGTAGTGTACAGTTCCGTTTATCATAAAAGAATGACATAGTAACAACTACGGTTGTTACTGCCAAGAATTCCAGAACACAAAAACGCACGCATAAAGACTACTGAAACTGGATTAGCTGGAATATGCTATGACAAGCCAAGTTACTTATAGCCTTGTTGTTGTTTGTATCCTATATGAAGTGCTCCTCAGAACAGCTGATCACCATGCCCAACTGATTTTAGAGGAAGCTAGAGCCAATACTCTGTTACTTTCCATTAAACACTTACTTGCAAACACACACATAGAGGCATGCTGATTTCAATGGATGGGGAATAAGGCAGAAAAACAGAGAAGAAGCTGAAGTACTTTAGCTTACCTTGATGCTGCGAAGAAGCTGGTGACCTGATAACCAAAACTGGCATAGTACGCGTGTTCCATAATTGCCATCAGCTGGACACAGTTATATCCTATAAAGATGGAAGAAATAAAACAAACCCCTGCCTTAATGATAGTTAAAAGAGGATTCAACATCTGTCACATCCATTCCAGTCTTCTCTCATTTTAGCTGCTTCTGACTCCAATAACTAACAACTAAAGATTCAGTCTCTTTCAAGAAGTAAGTCTGTCTAATACTTTATACTTACATGATATTCCATTAAAAATGAAGTGTCAATTTGCTAAGTGATCTACATATAACTAGATGTATTGAATCTCTCAGATTTAGAAAGCACTAAGTGATATGCAAATATAATTTTAATCTAACTTCAGAATATTAACTATGCCAATCTTCATGTCCCAAACTTCTGCTTCACTTCTCACGCTTGCAGTTAGGGGGTATAGGGGTAGTCACTGGCTACACATACTATACCTTATGCCCTACAGAATCTTTTTCTACCACTTCAAAACCACTTTTTTCCAACTTTGATGATTACATTCCCCCCTCTGTAAGAGTCATTCAAAAAAGAGAAAACACAATAGCAATGTGTTTTACTTATGAGTTTACTGAAGAACCAAGACATCCCAGGACAGCTGAGGACACACTGTCTAGTCCTTCCCCTAAGACAGCTCAGTGTACTACTCAGGGAGGGAAATCTAAAGCTAAAACAATATACTAACGGTGAAGCCACAGTACTTGCCACACATCTTAACTGAAGCTATCTTTAGTATCAGTGAATAAGTGCCCCAGACAGCTAGCAAGTGAGGACTATCAGTAAAAGATAACCTTCAGGTTTAATCTACAGTCTGTTGAGATTGCCACTACTTCTCTTTATGAGTTTAACCAAAATCTTCACTTAATTCTTTAGTTTAGACAAGATACTGGGATTTTTTTTGTTGATCTTGCTTCTGTTTTTAATTTTCACACATATGAAAGAGTTATTATTAGGAGATAGCTGGCATGAGCTCAACAATTTGTCAGATTCATTGCTGTTTTATAATTCAGGCTCATTGCACTTATTCTTATTTACAGCATTTTTATAAATAATAGGCAACACAGCATCAAATTTCTCATTCAATTTGCTTGCTATTTATTTTGCTATTTTTCATGCACATTTTTCTACAAACTATTAATATCTTAGTATTCTTAAATACTGATGTCTTTAAGCTTGTCCTAACAAGATACTCTAAAACCACATATAATAGCTCCTAAAAAGACATTAAAAACCCTCCATAATTCCCATATTGTTTACTTAATGCAAATAAGAGCAAACATTACCTATCACTTCTGTATACCCTACCTAAATTTGATATTGCTTTTATTTTGTGGTGTATCAGCCTTTTCATTACATTTCTCCTGTAGGTAAAGCAGAAAGCTTTCCCAACTCTGTTAAACATATTAACCTCCTGGAATGAGGGAAATTTTTTGTCAGTAAGGAAAGAGTCACAAATACATAACGTGGAATCCAAATTTACTTTTTGCTGAGGGCCTCCAGATGTGCAAATTCCCTCAATTCACCTGCAAGCTCAACTTTATTGAACGGCAAAAGCCACATTCTGTGAAACACTGACTCAACAAGTAAACCTATGAGAAAAACACACGGCTTCTTCAGGCACTCTGATAAATAAAAAAAAATAAAATTAAAAAAAAAAAAAAATCACACAACACACAAGCACAGCCACCATCCACAGAGGTCTCAGCCATGGATGTCACAACTATTTTACAGCTAAGTGTAAGAAAACATATTTTATTACAAGGTAGTAAAAAGCCTGCAATTACTAATATTGTTCCATTATAGAAACGTTGCAAAGACACCACAGGAAAAAAATAATCAAGTAGAAATTGAGATGAACAGTTTTGCTGTGCTTCCTGGGATAATCATGCCAGCTGTTTCATACATCCCTGCCAGTATAGTAGAAGTTCTTTTCTAAAAGAAGACTTCTTACATTTAAAGTTTCCATGTTCTAATACTTCACAGCAACCGTTCAGGAATAAAAAATTTAGCATGCTTATTCTGGCAAACAGAAAGGACAATCCTTTCTGTGCAGGTATTTCTTTATCTTTGCTTAGAATCAAGATTTACATTAAAAGAACCAATTAAGAACACAGTATTTTCTGAAGACTATCTCACAAAAAAAGGTCCTTTTTCAAGTTGAAAGCAAACCACGCCAAAAGCAAACTGCCCTGCAATATTTATCTAGGCTTTGGCAATCACATTTTACTTAAAAATCTGTAAAATAGATTTTGATTCACATATCCTATCTCAGTCTTTCTTTCTTCTCCATAGATTCCACTTGTTTATAATTTCTGCTACTGTAAGAATCTATTTTTATAGTGCATGTAATATGAAAACTAAAAAAAAGCTACAGACGCGATAATTATCTCTTCTAATAAGAGCACAGACACATTAAAATTTTATCTCTGCAAGTATCTCTGGTATTACTTACCAAGATCCTTTATTCTAGGTAGCACATTGTATGTGAAGTTTTTATAAGAAGCTACTTTCCCTTCTGGGGAAGCAATCCCCACATGAGATTCATAGATTCTTAGGCTTTTTAATCTCCTGGGGGAAGGATGCTTACGCTATAAGGAAAAACCACAGTTGTCATTAGGATGCAACAGCTTGGAAGCATTGTCACAATCACATAATTTGCATAAGATTAAAAACAATTTAAGGTTTGTCTTGTTTTTCATCTGAGAGCAAACATTTCAGAAGTTCTTAAGCATTCTAAACTGTTAAAGCAAATTAGTATTTCAAATATTAATATTTCAAATTAACATTATTCATGAACAAGAAACTGGACATCCATGATTTAACACTTTTCTTATATCCTTTTTAAATTACACTGAAGCGTACAAACTTACAGCAGCCATTGTACTATAAAGTTCTTCTGAACTACTATGAAGCTTTCTTGAAAATAAAAGATGACAGCAGAAAGATAGGGTTTTATTTTTTAAGCATACCTGCTTTTTGCAGGTATTTGAAGTTGCTCTGCCTTCTCCAAACTAAAACTGATAAATATTTTAGTCAGAAATATCTATATTCCAGTTACTTAGTATTAAAAAAAATAAAGAAATCCCACATCTGTGGGCAAGTACACAGTATTTCTAGATGGGTGAAAGTGTTTAAAGACTATAGAAACAATTGAAGTTCATCACCAAACTCCTCCTTACACCTGAAAGAGTTTATCGGGATTTTATTTTTTAAAACAAAAGTCTTGTCTGAAGAAACATAGGCAAACTACTGCTTAAAACCTGTTTTTCCCTAAAGTTTTTTTTTCCTCCCTCTTTCAATTAAAAAAAGTTACAAGATTTTTATATTCTATTTCTTATTTAATATTTAAGTGAAATTTTGAAAAGTTAGACCAAAACCAGTAAAAACACACATGTACGTGAACAGAAATTAAAGGGATAACGTGAAGAACAAGAAGTTCTGGTTGAGGTTGGCTCCCTGTATTTTACTTTCACAGGGTGCCTCTCCTATTCATAAAAGGACTCTTTTTTTTTTTTTTTTTTCCTCCTGACTTAACTCAGTAAGGCCTTGTCTGCACCCTAAACGTTCTTGCCTCCTTTCTGCTCTAGGTCATACAGATCACTGCATTTCAAGTTTCTTCCTATAGAGGACCTAGGTGTGATATAGAATCATAGATATAGGGTAGGTCACTATGTTCATATAAACTATACACCTAAATAAGAAAGTTACCACAGATAAAGTATAATTTTTTTTAAGAGACTTTACATGTGAGTTACCCTTTCTCTGTCAACTACATGCTTCATAATTTGAGGTGGGTGCTAAAATTCAACTCAAAACAGAGGTTGCAGTGCCTCTAATACAGAACATTGCATACTATTTTTTAGTGAAAATAAAGCGTAATAATATGAAATAACACCACTCAGTCTGAAGCTTCTGAATGTTCTCCTAGGGTATTTTTCATACCTCATGTAAAGAGTTCCCCCTCTTATGGCAGTGCATGAGAAGTAAAATAGCTTTAAAAACAATAAACAGATCTTCCAGATACAAAGAAACTAGGATGACTGGAGCATGAGTACCTTACTTTTGAAAGTTTTTTCTGACTTCAAATGGCATTAACTTTGTACAAAACTTTGTATTTGCAGCTAACTAGTTCTTAAACTCAATTCTGATAGTTCTATCCTCTCTTCTGTACCAGGAAAGGCTGCCTAGTCCTGGAATAGTTATTGAGCTTGCCTAGCATGTGGGAAGCAAAGTTCAAAACACCACTTTAACAGGTAACCATTTTTCATATGCTCTGTGGGAGACTGAAGAAGTAGCTCAAAAGCATCCATCATTAAAGTCTCTTGTTTCTGTCAAAGCCATGGATAAAAACCCTTCAGTTCTCCGGTAGCTGCTTTAACTAGTTCGCTACTCTCTTTTTGTGGAAGAACTTTTTTTCCTTCCAAATAGGGATACAAAGATGATGATACACAGCTTTATACACCCTTTCAAAATAATATTTAAACCTTACTATATATGACAGTGGTGGATTCCAGTGTACCCAATCATAATTCACTTTGTCTTCATCGCGGACTACGTATCTTGCCCAAGGTGAAATACGATAGAGGAGTTCGCCATTTTGAGCACGAATAACCACCTATAAAATAACCGCAACATACACATGCAGTCACATATAATTCATACAAACAACCCCTGTGTAAACCATAGCAGAGAATGAAATAGTATACTACGCAGAAATTTAATTTAAAGAACATACAAATACACAATGCACCTCAAGACAAGGAAGAATCATAGAATGGTTTGGGTTGGAAGGGACCTTAAAGATCATCTAGCTCCAACCCCCCTGCCACCGGCAGTGACACCTTCCAAGAATGATGACCCTTCCATGAACAGAATGACCCTGTTCACAGAAATGATTTGCAAAGGGATAACAAACCAGGCACGTCAGACACAAAAGTGATGTTCACAAACAGCAGCTGAAAGATGAAGATACATATGTAAGCTTCATATAAGTAAGGGCAGCAAGAGCCTTCCCAAACAGATTACTGTTATGTTCCCTAACTTCCCCTGGCATTCCTATTTCCCCATCACATTTTTACAAACTTAAATAGATATGCAGCATAATGCCATCAAGATGAGAACTGTGCTTTGTTTACTTGGCAAACAATCTAGTAAGCAAATTTTAGAATCACAGAATGGTTTGGGTTGGAAGGGTCCTCAAAGATCATTTAGTTCCAATCCCCCTGCCCCCCCTCCACTAGCCCAGGTTGCTCAAAGCCTCATCCAGCCTGGCCTTGAACAACCTCCACGGATGGGGCATCCACAGCTTCCCTGGGCAACCTTTTCCAGTGCCTCACCACCCCCACAGTAAAGAATTTCTTCCTAATATCTAGTCTAAATCTGCCCTCTTCCAGTTTAAATCCATTACCCCTCATCCTGTCACTGTATTCCCTTGTAAAAAGTCCTTCCCCGTCTTTAGGCCCCCTTCAGGTACTGGAAGGCTGCTGTAAGGTCCCCCTGGAGCCTTGTCTTCTTTAGGTTGAACAACCCCAACTCTCTCAGCCTGTCCTCATAGGGGAGGTGCTCCAGCCCTCTGATCTGGCCCTCCTCTGGACCTGTTCCAACAGCTCGACGTTCTACATGCATTCGGGGGCCCAGAGCTGGATGCAGTACTCCAGGTGGAGTCTCACAGAGCAGAGCAGAGGGGCAGAATCACCTCCCTTGACCTGCTGGCCACACTTCTCTTGATACAGCCCAGCATCTGGTTGGCCTTCTGGGCTGCAAATGCACACTGCCAGCTCATGTTCAGTTTTTTGGTCTACCGACACCCCCAAATCCTTCTCCCCTGAAATTTTAAGATCTTAATTCCTCTTTTTTTTTTTTTTTTTTTTTTTTTTTTTCACCTTTTGTTGAGTCCTGACTGATATCATATAGACCAGAACTACAGACCAACACAAGAAACACAGGACAGCTTTCAGGGCAGAAAGAGGGAAAAGAGTAAAATTGAAATTACTGGGTTTCTTCTGCTGTCTTTTGGTTTCTCTGGATACCTTCATCATCCTAATGATAAAGTATTATCATCTATTTTACTTTTTGTATTTGGTTTCCTCTGTTTTATAATGAGAGACAAAAAGGACTTTTTTTTTTTTTTTTTTAATTCCTTCAAAGAGCTCATAAAACTTCACCAGAAAGAGTGACCAAACAAAACAAACCCAGGAGCTCTTTTGGAATAATATAAGTTTGCACAACAAAAGCAATATTGAAATAATTACAAGATAATGTTGTACCAGGACCTTACAAACAACATTGTATTTGAAGAGATGGTGATCTTGAACAGGCCCTCTCTGCTCTACTGAGTAATTAATGTAACCTGTAACTTTTAAAATACCCTTGGGAAAGGGTATGAGGATCAAGGTAGGGAAGGTAGTGTTGCTGACTGGGAGAGTGTTGCACATTTAGGAGCTACAGACAACAGGTCCATCCTGTGCGGCACACGTCCCTGGCTGCAGGACAACTTCAGCCACCTCAGTATCACAGAGGGACCTTCAGGCAGCTCCCCCTTGGTAACAGCAACTATGCCACCTGCATGGCCTTGCCCTTCTCTAAAAGCACAGCAAGAAATTCTCATGAGAATATGCTTTAGGAGTAGAGTTGTTTTCTTGTAAGGAAATTACATACTAGCTTGAACGACCAAAAGGAAGATCTTCCCTCCAAGGACAGGATCTGCTCCACAGAGCATGCCATGGGAAAACCTACCAGCGCACTGTCTGATGCCACGCTAACACAGGGTGCCCAGCATTTGACGGTGACTTGCTCACTATCAGTATTCCTCCATTTACACTAATTAAAGTAGTTATCCTATGAAGCCCACTGTCATCAGCCTTTTCTTCTTAAGATTCACCTCACCCCTTCCTTAGTGCACTCTGGTTTTTGCTTGGTATTTTGCTTCCATTAAAACAACACCACAAAAGATTTGAAATTTAGAATCCAGAAATGTATAAACCAATGAAGTCCTAAAATTCTTCATTCTGCTTTTGTTATGATGTTAATAGCTGGGGCTTAGGGGGCTGTTTTTTGTGGGTTTTTTTTGTAAGGAGACTTAAGAACATAAGAAGCCTCAAACAAAAAGGGGGGGGGGATGCATGCGTGATCTTTCTTTTCTAACAGAAATAAGATAATTACTGCATATAATAAACCATACCTAGTTACTCATGTTAGCATTCCTTTTTCTTTAATATTCTAGTGTAATTTATACTATACAGGCTTATGGGGGTGGGCACATTTTAAGAAACATGAGGCAATAAATCTAAATTCAGAACATTATTTAATTAGGTGTAGTGACGGTTTAATCCAAAGATGACACTAAAGGGGGAAAAAAAGGATGTTTATTTATTATGAAATACTAAAACCAGTCATGCATACTCTTCAATTTAATCCATTAAGCAATTGAAAACATTTAAAACAGAGATTAGAAACACATTTAAACGAGCAATAAGTGATTTCACTTTTTTTAACCCACACTTCTACAGTTATGCTGCAAGTGTTAACCATATCTCTGCATCCTGTCCTTCTGAAATCACATAAGAACTTTTGTTGTTCCATAATCACTCAACTGAAATTGACCATATTTTTCCTAATTTCTGAGGCATCAGCACATTTGATATATCAGTTTACTTCACAAGTCATTTTGTTTAAGTACTAGTTTTGCTTTTATTCAACGCATCTGTCAAGTCAAGTTTGGTTAGACTTTTTAGGAACTAAAAGACTTTTACAGGAACTTGCACAAGTTCGTACCAACTTTCAGACAGAATTCTAATTGCTACAAATACGACTTTCAAGACACAGAGGTATACATGTATTTAACACATATTATGATAGTAACAATGTAGAGCCAGAAACAGGTGGTGCTAATCTACCACTTTCTGCAAGGCTTGCCTTTACACACTTAACATTCTTAAGACTTAATGCTGCTCTATTTTAAGATTCAAAATCTCCACAGTGTAGGTCTTCTTAAAGGAATATCTTCCAAATATATCCATCCATGATTCTATCAGGTTGAACCCCACCATAACAGAAGCAGCCTCAATTTTGCTCATGTGTTGCTGTCATTTTTGAGTACCATGAGCTGTGCACAGAGACAGCATTATCAAGAACATAGATAACCCAGAAAAGGAATCATTACAACACTAAAGCTGGTAAAGTTGAATTCTGTTCTTCTCTGGTTTACAAGAGCATAATCAACATATTTTCCTTCGACCTCTGTATCAAGTGAACCCTAACAATTTTAATTCACGTTTCCTATGCTTGCTTAACCCTTTTCTTCATTTTACATTCATCTCATTTACCAAACCATTTTTTTTTCCCTTAATTATCAAGGTCTATACTCAATCAACTTCTTATTCCTTTCTCCTGATATTGTAGAAAGTTGACTAAACAAGTTACAAGTAGAAAGACTTCAGATAGTATTTTCTGATTTTTCTTGAGATAGAACTCCCACACCATCATGTTTAGTTGAGTCATGAAATACTAGGGCCTGAGAAGTGAGGCCCTGAACCAAAACTGACCTCTAGGTGAACCTCACAACCTAACAATATACCTAATATGTATAATATTGATCACATATGAAATGTATTACCTTATGAATTTATGCCAATTTATAAAAGCTTTTGTTATAACGCTTATAAAGCTTTGCTGTAACGCTTGCTGTAAATAGTTGTGTAACAGTAGCCCCACTTGCCAAAGAGATAAACCTATCTCAAACCCTCAAACAGACCTCTATCTGACAGAATGTGGCAGGGCGGTCACGGGTTTTGTTTAGAAATGCATAATCAAAGACAACCAGATACCTTTACTTCTTCTTAACCTTTTCTCGGGTTCTGGCCAAGCACGGGTAAAAGTTAGCAAGGAAAAAAAAAAAAACACACCAGATGTTTTTCACAGCTTAAGATAGAAAGTTGATTATTTAACTGTATAAAAGCAGGGACCATTTGCAGGGAAATTTGGAAGCCTCCTCTATACAGTGGACGCACTGTATAGAGATTTCACAATTGCCGGGATGAGTTCTCCAAATCCTTCACTGTAAACAGGCTCCCCAGTGACTGCGGTTCTGAATGATGGTAATATAGGGCAATTGGTGATGTATCTTTCTTAGTCACTATCGCTAACTCTGTGTAGTAATGATTAGGTGCTTGCTTATTTTTGTGCTTGCTATAGTAGTTTGCTTGTTGTCTTGATGCTTTACCTTATCTTGCTTTATTTTTTCTGTACTATTTTCCTTACTACTTTGTCATTTTGGACATAAGTAAAAATAAGTTTACTTTTTTTTTTTTTTTTTTGCTGCCTGTGGCCTCTGTGCTATTATCCCCGTTGATTGGCAAAACAAGTCATGAGCAAAAAAAAAAAAAACAAACAGCAAAAAGTTGAATGGCACCCCAAAACAAACAGCAATTCAGACCAAGACTGACGAAAATAACTACATAGAGTCAAACAGCTTTCATTCCCATATTTGTTTTGGCATTTCTTGAAACAATTAATTACAAATAAATAAAAGTTGTAATAAAATTAGTAATAATATAAATTACCCACATAAAACTGACAGACAGATAAACTACTCTTGCTCCACTCACCCCAAACTACTACTTGTGCTCCATTCTCTGCAGTGTTCAGATATAAAATTATCTGCCATGTATACTCTGGACATGCTGCTACAGGTTATATATGCATAAAGAATACTGAATATAGTCATTACACAGCCCTCTTGACAAAGTACCTATGAGTCTATTTATCAGATAATGCACTTTTGCTATAAATTTGCTTTTTTTTACTGTTTTAAAACTAATTCTTAAAACTTATGATGCTTAACTTAAGCTAGTTACCACTTAGTTCATCAACATTTTGTAGCTGAATTTACATTTTTGTAATTAACTCAATCTTCTCTAAAGAACATACATAAAAATCACGATGTTCATTAAATAGGACTCTTCAAACTGGCCTTGGGGTTTACCTACTCCATTTTTAAGAGGTACGTCCTTGTTCTTCCCTGAAGCTATATGAGGAGGTACATCATACCATTTGATATGAACACTACAGCTCCCACGAAATAAAGCTTTAAAAATGCATACTACTATATAGCATGAAATGCATTTGTCAAGGGGACCAAGCAAACTGACAAAAGTTTAGCCTCTAATCACAACTAACCTTTTTGCTTTACACTTATTTAAGCTTTAAAGGAAATCCTAGGTAAAAAACAGTCATTGTATTTCTGATTCTATTACCAGGTTTTTTCACTTTTACCAGCTTCTAAGCCCATATAACACAGCATACACCTTGCTGGCTTTTAAGAACATAATAGATAATACAGATAAGGTTCCTAGAAAAACCATAGTTAAACTTATTAAACTTAGCTGTCATATGTAATAAACCATCAGGCATGGTATGTAGGAGTTCTGCAGAAGGCATTTAACACATACTATGTACCAAGCAGCCCTTTTTCATTAATACGTTTTCATATTACATTTATGTACCTACATTATGGCTTACCCATTGCTTCCTTCACCT